CTGCCGTGTGCCTGGCCGGTCTAGTGTGAACAGTAACGCACACACAAAAAAAAAGAAAACAAAGAACATCAACCCTTGCATCTCATTTGTCTATACATTATTTTTTTCTGGACTACTCCCTAACCCCGTTTGTGGAATCTATCTGAAACATCATTAGGTGTTGTGTCTGGCCCTGATAGAGATCCTTCCAGATTGCTGAACGTGGATGAGAAACAAAGTTGCAATGAACGACAGAGAAATGGACACCGAAAAGGGAAAGGAATAAAGGGAAAAGAAAATAAAAGAAAGGGAAGCAAGGAAAGTTGGGAAACGGGAAAGGAAAGAGAGAGGGAAAGAAAAGGGAGGGTGACTAGAGGAAAGATGAGAAAGAAAGGGACAAAAATCACAGGAGAACCAGAAAGAGAAAAAAGAAAGAAGAGACGAGGGGAGGAGAGGAGACGAGGCTAGAAGAGAAGAGAGGAGAGAAACTCGGAGAAGAGAAAAGACCTTTACAGTAAGAAGGAAGAGATGAGTCTCAAAGATTGACTTGAGGTTGTTATTGAAGAGGATTCAACTTCATTGGTTTGAATGTGGAAATCGGTTGGATTTTGTGTCTGCTGCTTCTAGTTGCCTGTGCTCTCCTTCTCTCTCTCTCTCTCTCTCTCTCTCTCTCTCTCTCTCTCTCTCTCTCTCTCTTATTCGTCTGTTGGCCCATATGTTTGGATTGGTGCAGATGAACCACGCATGTACACCTCCGTAGAGCCATCACCAGATGGGGAGTATCTCTTGGTCGTGACCATTCACGAACCCTTTTCCTTTGTGGTGCCGGTAAGTTCTCACGCCCTTGGGTACCCCATAACTCCTGTCTTGGACCTTGCTGCCCAGCTCCATAACACCAAGGTATACATTTTGGCAATGAGTCAACAGGTTAAGTGCTGTTGAAAATTTGAGCACAATTCCTTCCTGGGTGTCTTTCTTGTACATCAGTGGGCGATACCCTCTGCCCACTTTTTGTGCAATGACATTTGGTATTGCTCCCATTCTCCTCAGGGTCATTGCTACTGTTGTTGTTTTTTTGTCATCGCCTGTCGTTTTCTCGTTTTCATCTCATTCAAGAAGGTTGTTCTTTTCTCAAGCTTATTCCTCTGATAGTGTACAATCCATGAGCTCTCTTGAACAGCATGGGGGAAGGTTTTGGTGGGTCCCACGGTAGAGGGAGCTGGGAAAGCACTGGGATTACGGATGTGTGTGTGACTGGCACTGACCATTGTGGTGGCCACAGTGCAATGAGTTTTATTCTGGGGGCAAAGAAAGGAATAAGGTTCCTGTTTAGCTTGGTTTTTAGACCTTTCAGTTTTGCTCTGCTCCATGTTCAGAGTCTTGTATTTCTTGGACCCCATTTTCCGATGGTGGCTGGCTGCCTATTTCCTTCGGTTGGATCCGAGTTCTCAGTTCGTGTGTGGTGTGCTGGTTGGCACTTTCAGTGTGGCAGGTTTCCCAAAAAGGTGGAGGTATGGACCCGTGAAGGGGCGCATGTGCATGAGATATGTGACCTGCCTTTAGCGGAGAACATACCCATTGCATTTAATAGTGTTCGCACCGGCAGACGGTCCATAGGGTGGCGACCCGATCAGCCAGCTTCGCTTTCCTGGTACATGCTTCTTCATGTCCAATTGGCCTTGTCTGAAATTCTTTCCATGCTTGATGACTCTCATTCTTCACATATGTTGTGTGCAGTCAAACCAGATTCAGAAATCTGCACACAATTTTTCCCATCAAGAGAAGAGTCTGTAAAATATTGTAAACATACTAAACAATGAAATCACACTACGATTATTCAACTTGTCATGTATGCAAACAGCGAAACAGCAAATTGGCGACAGGCGCCCACTCAGTACTCAAGATATCGTATCCACATAAGAGTTCTCTTCAAACTGGCTATGGCGA